GTCCAAGCAGGTAGACCAATACGAACGGCAGTCTTTCGCACATCCTCTCCATTTACAGCTAATAGCTATATGGTCAATCTGACTCCACGTCTGTGCCGAAGAGGGGTTACGCGAGGTGGCGAGGTGACGCTTAGAATGTGTGAAGTTCGTGCTAACGAGGAACAGACCGTGTTCTGAGCATATGCTAAGAAGTCTGTCCCCATTATCTGAACGACAGCTATCAAGGCCATGACGGCCACCAAGGTGGGTCTTGTCGCGAGACAGACGACCAACGCGTGAATTGAGGTCTCCGGTCAGGATCACGATATACGTCTTAGGTGCTTTGAGAAGAAGCTCATGTAGATTGTGATGGAAGGTGTCCTGGACTGTATCCGGGCTACAGTCTATGGGAGCGTATGCAGAAACCACGAATAAGCATCGTTCATTAGGTTTCTGCTTTTTGACCTTACTTGAGCCTCTGAGTCTCACTGGCACAGTCGGCTATCTATCAGGATCCAATCCAATAAACCAGCCTCGGCCTTAGCACTTAAGGCAATACCAACACTTGTTTGACCAAACACTTAAGAGACGGGGTCCCCGGAGACGCGTAGTTGGAACGTTACTTTTGGATTGGAAGGAGACGTTGATCGGATCCTGGATGCGTGTTTCCGAGAGGCAACACACCTCAATCTCTAGACTTTCGAGCGTACGAGCCAAACGTACTTGTTGTCCTATATACATTAGAGTTCTAATGTTGAACGAAGGAAGTTTGAATGCATAGCGAGGTCGGAGGAATGGAACAGTCGGTTCCGAAACAGATATCAAAGAGGACAATGGCGAGCTACAACATGAACCTACCTCAGTGGAACCGTTCGGGACTGGTGGAAGTGTTGCGTGCAGATTCTAAGAGAGAGCTTTGCAGAAGTGTAGTATTTTGTGACATGTGTAAATGTGTATGTTCATAAGTCCATGGTTAATGTGCATGCGTGTGGGTGTAAAAACGGGAATTCATCGGAACTGAACATCACCGTTCATTCCCTCAGAATCAAATTGGTCATACTGCGAGAAAACAATCCGTAGTTTGTCCACACGCGTGACACCGCCTGGTTTTCAAAATCATACCAAAGACTGGTCCAATCTGTCAGATCTTTTAGGCTTAACTCACGTACCCAGCAAACCAATGATCACAACCGTATTGTCTCCGGCGGTCTTCCAGCTCCTCTGGATAAATTAACCGTATGTGGTTGACCAACTCGTTTATTGCCTTGTTGTCCTTTGTTCTCAGCGAAATAATTACCGCCGGAAGTTAGTAAGTTTGACTTTCCTAACCCAGGCGAGTATTTCTTCTGATAAAAACAAAGCCTCATCTTTGAAAGAAATGAGGGTGTTTATCATATTTTAAGCAGTAAAGCTGTGTTCGAAATAAATACACTTCACCTTGGCGTTATCCACCGTAATAACTACAATGAAGCTTGGTGGGCTACCGTAGCTTAGGATCCGTTTGGATTGTATTGGTCTAGTGCGATTCAGACTCATACGGTGACGCCCAGTCATAGTATCATTGTTGACTACGAGCGGATGAAATGGGTTGTATCGAAATTATTATCGATAAAATATTCTGATTACAGTTTTTCCAATACATACCATTGCCTGGTAGAAATTTTCGGCAGGACAATGAAAGAACTGGTGGCCTGGATGTGACTGGCTGTTCCGTAAGGGGCGGTCGGTGGATTCACTTGAGTTTATTACGATTCCATTTGGGTCTCAAATGGTGCAAAACTGACGAGTCATATAAGGCGTCTAAAGCATAGGCGTACAATGAAGCTAAGCAACTTAAACTGTTCACCAGTAAATTCATCTCAAACCACTCAGTCTACCCACAATTTTTTTCAAGTCTTTCAGCAAGCTATTGATCAAAGTTGAAGTCTCTTCGAAGGTGAACAAAACGTGGTTCTTGACCCAAGAAATGCTCTCATGGAATACGTCTCTAAGAACATCTGTTGAGGAATTTTTTTACACAGCCTTCTTTTAGTGAGGGTGTTCCCCGCGTAAGTGAGTTAGAGAGGAGGGAGCCTACAGCAGGGTGAAAAAACCGCGGCTAATTATTGTTCATTTAGAGGAGTTGGAAATTTCCGATCTCAGACCTTAAAAATAGGCGTACATACTGGCTGCACGACATCCTGCTGGTTGCAATGGTCATCAGTGTTCTAATCATNAATCATATGGATCACCAGCTCTTCAGTCAACTGGGTTGAATTATCCATAATTTGATTGATTGTCCAAGAACAAAGCATCTTTCAGCGAGCACACTGATTTGACAATTGGCTCGAGTAGGCAATGGGGTATGTGGATCACCCTGCACGTGTGCATCATGCTCCAAAGGCGTATCATCAGACTGAATGGATATTGGCCCCTCAGTGAATTGTGGTTTTCAAACACTGCCCTTCTGTTTTGCGGGTCAAGTTTAGGCTAAGCAAAGATACCGGTTGTGAACCCTCGAGAGAATTCACCTGCTTTGGCCGCGGCAATTTGTCAATATTCCATGCACGGGCAAATCATGAACTGATTTCGTTGCAGTGATTAGTGATGTTCCCTGATTTTTTCCGCACCGTCTGGCAGTTTTACTGGAGTTAATTTTTAAATGCATCAAATAGTAAAAAATTTACATTCGCGCCTGATTTTTCCGTGCACGGTATCATCAAACAGAGTATACATATATACTACCTACTGTACTACTACATGCTAAACATATACTACCTCTGTTTTCTTTCCACCCTTCACCATATAATCAAGGTGCACCATCTTCATCATTGGGGATATACATGCGCCTCCTCATTAGTGATGGTAGTGGCTGCGCCTTGGTCGAACTTAGTCGACCCCTATCCATGGCTACAACTGCTTCTCCCGTTCTGAACGACACAAATCAGTCCGACTGGGGCAAGCTCGAGTTAGTGCGCACTTTGCTCGGCCTCGACCCAGCCAATTGGCGCCGTTTGTGCCGCGCATTGGAAGGAGAATTGTACGCCCAAAGACATAAGCATCCTGTTGGTGTTCTATCTGTTCCTCTAAAAACTGACGAAAGGTCACCACATTTTTCTCCTTTGCAGTTCGCCTTACGTGCTTTCCTCACATCACCCGCATTTTTGCGCCCACACATCTTTACCCTGGAACGAATTGTGACCGGTGCTGCATGGAAATCCACCGGGAACTTGTGGCGTCTTCGGCAGACCCGACTTCAAAGAAACACGGATGAGAATTCAGCCGACGAATCCGGTCTGCTGGTTCGTTTTGCCGTTCCTCCTCTTCAACTGTTCCATCTGATTGAATTGAGCAGTGATTTCTAAAATTTTCCTATGAAGGATCATCTTTTCCGATGTTTCCATCATTTCTTATATTTTTTGATTATAATTTATGTATATTTTATGATTTGGTCTTTTTCGATTTGTGGCCCGTCTGACCAAAATCTCGGTAGTTAACTCACGAGTGGTATATACTCTTAACAGAAACGGTTTTACCCGGTAATAAAAGTCACAATTCCATGATTACTAAATACAATCGTACCTGGAGGTAAACTGACGCATAAAATCGCAGGACACCTCGTTGAACAGAAGCACAAAACCCAACATCGATTTACTAGTTATTGAGCTATATTATCACAGCCTGCCAGATCGACTTACTGCGGTTGTTTCTTATAGGAATTTTACAATCTGCGTATATTCCAAATGTTCAGGCAAACCATACTTTTGGGGAATGAGAAACATGCAAATTGAAATTTCAGTTGAACTACCACAAACCTATGGCAACACTATCTTCAGTTTTATCCGAAGGCAAGAACCATGTGGGAATACACGATCCATCAAGTGTAATTCACACAATTGCATGGTATTCCTGAGCATATCATAGAAGCTCCTGGATGGACTGTATGCAATACCATCCACCCTTCGAACAATAACGACTGTCTTCGTGCAAACCACTATTTGTTCTTCCGAATCATCATACCATCATATATCGCATTGCATAACAGACACTCATCATCATCATAAATCCTGAGTGTAAATTGATCACTTCGTTACTGGTTACTGCTGGCGTTGATCCGTTCAAGATTGCCTTGATCTGGAAATGATAATTCGAACCGCACTCAGATACAGCTAACCTCATGGAAGCCGCTATGAACGGACACACACTTCCGGATGACTTGGGTGCTAGTCTTCCGATGCTGTTCTCGGGGTTAGGACTGGTTCCACTCGAAAGAAGCAGCAAGACGTAAGTTCCATGCGTAATAGCTCGATGGATTAAAGTCATACAGCATCAAATCAGTTAGGTAGATCTTTCTCACTGTATCAGAACTTCCAACCTCGCTGGACAGCTATCAAAGTAGAACTTTTAATATGGGACGCTCCTCCCTTCCCGTGGGATATTTCCTCATTTGGATCGTTTCATGGTCAAAATAAGAAATGGAATGTACAGTTCCGGGTATAGAATATATTACATGATGTAACCTTGTAAGTGGTTTCACCAATGTAAAAAGTGAGGCCTTTCAGCTTGAGATATGTAGCGATTGGTGAACAAACGACGTGGGATGGGAGAGCGCTCCATGTCGGGCACGCTGACAGCAAAGGCTTGACACCAGCATTTTCGGACCACCAATTTGAATGGATGTCCGCTAAATTGGGCAGATGGTGAAAATGTCAGCAAGAGACGATAAAGGATGTCTTGGGTTCTGGAGTATATTTGATACACCAAAATCACTTCTCTCCGAATGTCACAGCGGAGTAGAACCTTGATGATCGAAATCTGTTAGCATAGATATGGGAATAAAATCCGTTGATTATCTTGGTGGCCATTCATTGTGGTTGTCCCAGCATACTGCGATCACGTTGTGGCCACAGGATGTCGATGGATTCTACCGGCAGCTCCTCGTTTGACAACACCGAATCCAGGATAGATGATGACTGCATATATACAAAACTAGTGATCTCCTTCATGTAGTTGCTCAGTGAATGCCAGTCAGTTGTTTGAGCGGATTTTTATATGGAAGGGCAGTCGCGTTTTTATCAAGATTCCCACGGTTGAAATTGCCCATGGAGAAAGCCTTTGCGGGAAACTGTTTGTAAAAGAAAATTTTTTTACCGACTCCCGGGGGTGACGTTAAGCGGCATACTGCGCTAATCAAATATTCATCTTTCCTCTACATTCACAACCTACACTAGGGTGTGTTGATTAATTGAAAGTTCTCTATTTTTCTATGAACCGGTCAAAGGGGAACCAAACAATCGAGAATGTTTTGGTTCTGGTTCCGTTAGGGATGATGTTGGCACGTTTTAACAAACATCAGATATTTCATCAATACCGAAAAAAAAACAAATATCGCTAGATATTAACATTTTGTTTCATATCCTCAATCGCTGATGTAAAACAAACAAACATAAATAGCAGATTGGGTTGATCAATAGCAGTGAATAGACGTGTACACGCAACCAAAGAATTACTGCATAGGGAAATAGAAAGTCAACATCACGATAGGTGGATTGATTATATGAAAAACGTTTGTACACATAAAGTCGGATGATGTAATCGAATTAGCAACACTTCAGTAAATAACTTGAACTGACTATCCTCCGAACTTCACCTTCACGTTCTTTTAACTGAAATGTGAGCATATATGCTTACACAAGTTACAAATACAATACTTCACACACAATATTCAGTTCACCCGGCCAACCGTACGCTCGGAAGCACTAGACTCGAGTTTCGCTCTTATTAGAGCTCGTCAGTAGTGCATTATCACCTTCCCGTCCTGGCTTTGAACTCCGAACCCATCGCATGGAAGGCACGTGTTACCATTGTGCCAACCAGCTCATACCAGGACAAGCGAATTACTAATTCATGTTTTGTGAGATCAATGGAGGATTTGATTTGTTCATATAAGGAATTCGTCGTGTAAATGAGGCGTGGGCTGGGAAGCAGTGGACAGTTGTTTCGGCCTGGTTCGATTGATTCACACTGCTGATGAGATCCAACAAGGTTGAAACAACTGTCCAGTGCTTTTCAGCTCACGCCTCATTTACACAATGAATTCATATGTTCAGGTTTCGTCTTCAGTGATAGTCAGTTTTGGCCCGACAGCAACGAAGGGAGACAATTGACTATCTCTTAACTCCAATCGGAAGCCTCCAACCATGAGACGTTTTGTATCAGACGACATAGTATTTCTTGTGATCGCCTTATCATCGATTGAGTCATTGATTTCACCAATTACTTTGGAATGTTTTCGACCGTCTGTGTGATAGCTGACAGCTTGTTCTGTCCATGCTTGCGTCACTGCAACTGCAGGTGAACTGGTATACAGAGTGTGAGACAGAACCGGTATGCCAGGCATGTTAACGTTTGTCCAGATCAATTGCATGAGTAGAGGTGTAAATCTGAGTTGAGTAGCTGGGAGTGTACGGTGTGGAGTTCTCTCCAACTTTTAGAGTACATCATTGTAAATGTAGTCACCTCTGAAACCTGCTTGTCAACGTTTTGGGCCGGGTTACTTCTTGGGAATGGTCCATTACGAATGGCCATAAACCATTCTGGATAATCGTTGTTTAGCAGTGTTCTCCTCAGGAAATCCTCTTCTTTTTGTACTGTATCTGGAGATAGCTGTTTATCAACGATCGCACGGAACAGTAACCAAATTAAGCTAAAATATTTCCTCATCATTTTGTTTTGCAGATAATGCAAAGACAACACACTGACTGCACTGATTTTATCACATTTGGATCTGACTTGTTTGTATAATCTGAAGACTCAGTCGATAGGAATTGCACTGCAAAATATTCGTAGTTGTCGTCCGTGCGTGGTTTCTAGACCTAGCGAGACTGCTGATATTTTTATAATCCATTCTAAAATTCATTGCGCACAAAAAATCATTTCAATCTTATTTCGCTATTCTCAGTGTCACGGAGTGGTCAAATGTGCAAATGAGATTGCTACTAAGCGATCGATCCCGACAGACGTGTATATCTTGAATCAATAGGACCCGATTATAGTATAATCGATTTCATACATTCCTGAGCTTTTGTGTGTGCTTCTTACCGCATCTCGTGTAACATTAGCCATCATGCAGTGACTGGGAAGTACTTATCTTTCCGGATACGCAACCACCCATCAGGTCAGTCAACCCGGATGTCTTTGGTTTCATATGGTTTATGTAAGCCAATGGCACGAATTCACTGAGTCGTGTGACGACAATCAGTCAGACTGTAGAACACGTGTCTGCATACCGTCAAGTGGAAGCATATTGATCAATGTGGAAAAGGAATTTACTTACTCCACTAACTGTTTTCCCGTTGATTATTGTCTCAATCCAATTCAGACTCCCTATGTTAGTCGTTGCGCAATGGACTGGTTCAACCGGTGTTTCCCGTAACGTTCTTTTCCATGCCCCCAGAACTATCCGTTTCAAGCGCATGACCGCGGATGTCTGGACAGGCAATTGTGTTATGTCCGCGCGTGCAGTGATGAGCGAGCTTTCGACTGATGTGCCTGTGTGTATCTGAGGTTCGAAAGCAGGTCAATAACTAACAGCCAGTTCCTTACCTAAAACCATTTAGAGTGTTTGATTGGACTGTCCCAAAGCGGATGTATAGACTGGGATTTCTCATCTGTCGTCCACATATCCCCAAACGTGCTGTCTCTCCTCTTTTTCGGAAACGGGGTCGGGGACAGTGGTCTACACGAGGAGTGGTTGACCGTCGTCAATCTCGCTCTGGTACCGCTCCCCCTCCCGTTCTCTCCGCACGTCTTCCCATGTCCCAGTTTCTTGCCAACGTGTGACGTGGCTCAGGAGCGACCTGATTCGACTGGGACTGAGTCATACACACGATGAATTAGATAGACCCACTCCCGCATGCGTATGTGTATCGACCGCTACGTCAACCGAAAACGGCAAATTGACCCCGCCTAGTCTGTTGGGATATCCAATCCCACGATCGTTTGATCGATAACGAATGTCAGCGTTCCCAAGCCCACGGACTAATCCACGTACTCACCTAATCAGGTCATCGCGAACGCTAGTCCCATAGTTGCTATTCGCGATTCGCGAACTAATGCACACTTGACCTGTTTCATCCACACACCCACTCCATATCGTTATCTGCATCGACCTAAAAGAAAAATTTGGTCGATGCAATTGGGTGACGTTCGGACCAGTCCCTAGGGGTCAGACCACATCATCAATGGCGCTATCGAGTCCTGAAACCATTCTTCGTTTCAGAATCGATTCGGCCATACAACTGAGAGCTATGATTCAGGTGGAGAGCATTCAGTTCGTCGATGTTCGTCAACACCATCTTTCTGT